TCAGGACCCACCTTTTACCTCTCCTCATCCAACTGTACCTATAATTTGTGTCTTAGATGTCACAATATTTAGGAAGACTTCTCCCCTCATTCAGAGACCCATGTAAAAGTCTCACTTAGCTGATCTACTGGAACCTTCTATTCTGCCTTTTAACATTATATATGTAATGTTTTTTGGTTTATTACCTATGTACTCCATACACAAAAGATTTCTGAGAGTGGAGACTCTTGCTGTATTTATTGTTTTGTTCCCAGTGATAAATATACTGCCTCACACACAGGAGCTCAAGAATATTTTATTCATTTACTTGACTTATTGAGCTAACCTGCATGAAAATAGGAGTCTTCCTCTTTCTTAGCTTCATAGCCCTGAGTTCTGGCTCTGAAATCTCTGTAGACGTACATATTTTTAGCAGACAGAGTAAACAGCACAAGCCTGGAGGGTGAAACGCAATTCTCTGCTTCCAACCCTGTCTGCCCTTCTTCCTGATCCTACTCCTGTGTATCACCTGAGACTCACACTGCACCCACTGCAGCTGTGAGATTTCCCAACACACCCTGACATCAGGAGTCATCGTTATGTCCAGCTCCTGCTGCCTGTGTAGAGAGCACTGGCTTTATTATTTCCTATCTACAGGAATTAACTGGGTCACATCTTTCTGATTTGTAACTAAGGATATCTTTGCTAAAGTTATGCCTTTCAAAATCTAACAGGAACCCAGCCATGGTTCAAACAAAGTCTAACTTAAAAATCTGATAACAACTATGACCCTCTTACTACCGTCCCATTCATTGTGAAATGACTTAATTTCTAAGGGCTAAATATAGCAATGGGTTTAGTGTAAACGGGCCTCAACTACAAAATCCTACAAATCAGGAAAGAGTTTATCTCAGCCCCTCCTTACTTGAGTTAAAAAAGATGTACAAGTCAAAGAATTTGTGCCTTCTGGATAACATAATGGGTGGTTGCTCCTGATTAAGGGCAAAAGTCCTGGGTTGTTTATTTGAGACGTGAAAGAAATCATAATTTTCTTTGTTATTATCTGGGATTATGATTGTTTTTATAGTTCATGAAAACTTTCTCTGTTAAAATCTTTTATACCAAAGTGGGCCTTGGAGCTTTTTAATTTGCTGAAGTGCTTTCAATCTATGTCTACTTAAACATTGCTATGGATTTCTGAAGAAAACTTTAATTCAGCAACCCCATTGCTTTTTTCCAGAGTCTTTATTTCTCCCCAAACAGCTAGTTCCCATTTCAGTAGTTCACTTATTTCCTTGAATTCATTTTATGTAATTATATTTCCCTGTGCCTTCCTATCTTTCAGACATCCTTATGACTGCTTCTCACAAATTTACCCAGCAGCTTGCTAGGATCATGTTATTCTTTGGAGAATTGATTTTCACCAAATTCTCAGTGCATAGTTTCTTTTTCTAGTTCTGAATTACATGCTTTGCCCTTCACCACATAGGATACTTTTCTCTCCTCTCTTGCTGAATGTTTCTTCTGCCCTTTCTTGAAATGTTTTCAGACAATCAAAGGGAAGCTGCATATTGCCCAGCTCTGATTTATTTACATATCTCTCTCCCCGGATGAATACTAAGCTCCTGAAGGAAATTCCTCCTTGTGTTTGTATTTCCAACCTAACTCTTTAGAAGCCATCCAAATGCTCACTGACCATGGCTGAAATGGGTTATTCCACGGAGTGGGAGCAGACTTCTAACCAAATGCTGGTGGTGAGGAGTCCTTGTGTGTTACAATGTTATGTGACCAATACCATTTTATCCCATGAACAACAATGATTATAAATGCAAACAGTTGTGTATATTTTATTCCTTTGTCTACTTTTGTTACTTACAATAAATATTAAATCCTTCAGGAAATGAAAAAGAGAATTTGGAGATGGGTGAATGTTTACAAAATCGAAAAATAATCAACCTTTAAAAATGGAAATTTTTCTAGGTTTCAATTCACTGGTTTCATTCAAATATATGTGTTGTGTAATCTTTCCAATTAGGAATTTATATCCCTTCACCAAAAATTTTGTATATTTCACTTCATGCAAGATAATTTAATCCATAGAGATAAAAAGATGAGGGAATAATATGGATATTATCATTTTACTAAGTAATTATTGTTTATAAGTAAATGCAACTTCTTTTTCAAAGAAAGCTAATGATTGCCAGTAAGATTTCAGATCAGTGGATCTCTAGAGCATCAAATGCTTTATAGGCAGTTGAAATTTGTTTCCATTCTAATATCACTTTTCTTTAATGACTATGCTGACTTTCATTATTACTACAGTTCTTCAGATTGAAACTGAGAAAAGAAAAACGGTGTACCTAAGAAAAAACAAATACATCACATAAATTATCTGCCATCTCAGTCCCTAGCCTCAGTGATTGCATTCCATTACTGCTTATTCACTCTGTCTGCCACCCCCCTCTGAGAGAGCAGAGACAATCAAGCACTGCCCCGTGGTTTATGTTCTTGTTTTATGGCTACCAACAGACCAGTTAAAGTATTCAAAATAAATACCTAAGTAAGAATATATTCCAATGGCTGTGTGCCATGGACTAACTTTTGTCCCCTGAAAACTTATGCTAGCATTCTAACTCCCATTGTGATGATATTTGGAGATAAGGTCTTTAAAAGTTAATTAAGATTAAATGGGGTCCTAAAGTCAGAGCTCTAGTACAATAGGTGGAAATGCTGCTACAGCCTTGATCTTAAACTTCCAACCTTCAGAAGCCTGAGAAAATAAATTTCTTTTCAGCCATGCAGTACATGGTGTCTTGTATGACAGCCAAGTGTGCTAAGACACTGTAGAAATGTAAAAGAAAAATAGTTAAGGCAGTGTTAGAGTACAGATCATAGGAAGGGTCTACGAAGTAATGACATTTGACTGAAGAGCTGAAGATAAAGAAAATTCTCCAGGTTAAAAGAAAAAGGCTTTTTCTGGAGAGAGAGAGAAAGAGAGAGAGAGAGAGAGGAGAAACATAAAGAGAAATGAAAACACATGGTACATTCAAGGAAAAGGGGCAATGCTGTGTGGATGGAAAATGAGAAGTGTGGAGGGAGAGTATCAGTGAGGCCAAAGAGCCAAAAGTGAAAGAGTTGTGATAGGGGCTGGGGATTTAGCTCAGCGGCACAGCGCCTGCCTGGCAAGTGCAAGGTCGTGAGTTTGATTCCCGGTACCAGAACCCCCACACACACAAAAAAGAAAGAGTTGTGATAGGGCCCCATGATGATGATTCTGCAAGTAAAGATTAAAGAGGAAAGAGGGTCTTTAAACATAGAGATGTAGATGGACACCACCGCTCTAGTTCAGAGGAGAAGTCATCCAGGAATGGAATTTCTATGGGAAGAAAAGAGAAGAGAGATTTGGAGAAAGAGAAAATCCTCCTTGGTAGCTGCAGGGATAAGCCTGCTCCCGAAGGAGCAGGTAGAGGAAACAGGTGTGGAACAGTGGTGGGACTCCCTGGTATACGGTTAATTAGTTCATTTCAATTTTTGAAAAATGTTTCTAGGCTCAACTATGGAAAGACAAAGATGAGCAAAGGAAAGTCTGTTCCTTCCAGGAACACATTCCTCACAAGAAGAAAAAAATACTATCATGTGAATAACGATAACATAAACATGTGTACGTGACATATTGCACAACACATGAATAAATAACTTATAAAACAGCATTAAGAGGGAGTGATCACATTGAATCCACAAATAGAAAGCATATTGGAATAAATTTGAGCAATTTTGAGAATCTCAGTTCTTCATTCCTTGCCCGGATAAATGTTAAAGTGCTTAATAACTGTTGGGTAGCAATAGACACATGGTAAATTTAGATAATTTTTCTGAATCCTGGTTTCTTTTCTGCAAACTACAATACCACATAGGAAGACCAGCTGTACAGGTTTGTCAAGGATTGAGGGATTTCTTATTAGCCTATAACCTGAGTTTTGAAGATGTCATTTGACCTCCAAATGGATCAGAAAACTATCAATCGGAAAAGTGGTATTGCTGTCTCCTACTATGAATTTGAAAACTCCACTATAACAGAGTCTTTCCTATGAAATCCCAGATATGCCTGTCTTCAACAAGATCTCTAAACATCCCCCAAAGGGCATCTGAATCTCCATTCTCAGGGTGGATACTGTTAAATTTGGAGGACTGTATAAAGAAGAATAATGTGGGTGTGACCCGCATTTTGCGGGAGAAGGAAAAAGGGAGCATAGAAAATATTTACAAGATTAAAAATAACAAAATTCTCATTCCTCTGTGATTGTAATACATGCAATACTAATTCCTGCAGAATTAAATTTATGTTAATGTTTTATGTGAAAATGACTGACTACTAGAACAGCAGAAAACCAAGCACCAGGAAACAACAACATATTCCTGATTTGAGATATTAATATAAATTTTTAAGAATTATTTATGGCATTTATTACATTTGTCTTTCCCTTAGATATTGGTTCGATAAAACTATAATATCAGCAATTCACATACAACACATCTTAATTTCTCCACCATTGATAATATTTCTGTCACTACGAAAATGACTGGTATAGCATATGTGGTCCACTACCAGTGCTTTACTGAACTGTGTGGTGTGTGATCACAAACTATGGTAGGTGTTTAAATTTTTAAAAAAACTTTTATTACAGTCAAAGATGCATAGCCATTAGCCTTCCTCAGAATACTGTCCCTACCTTGAACACACTTATTCTATCATTCTTGCTGCTTTCTGAAGCAGTTCTAGATGTCCTCTTTGGTGGCTTTTTAAGGCTGCCTTAATGTTTTGAACCTATTTAGAATCCCTATGGCATTTTTTGTCAAATCAAAACATTACATTGTATCCTCAACAATCCAATTCAGTGGATCTGGCCCTGTGCAACTTCTGATTCTTCCTCAGAGCCAAAACGAGATGTAAGGCAAATGTTTTGAATCAATTCAGGACGTTAAGGTAACCATGACAGTGTAACTAGACACTCACGCGCACACACAAACTTCAGAATGCCTTCAATAGGTGACAAGAGGTACGGGACAAGTGTGCTGGAAGCTAAAGTGAGCATTTTCACAGGGTTCATGGCTTGTTATTGTAGTGACTTTTTTAAATTTAGAGATTCACTCAATTTTAATCACAACTTACATATATGATTGAACTTTAAGAAACTCACAATACATGTGAAAATATCCCTTAGATCGCATCTGATAAGATGAAATAGGCATTAATGATGTGCCACAATATTTTATTTAGCTGCAACACAGGTAAAAAAGATTTGGATGTTTGAAACTGACATCTAAACAGCATCAATGCACAATAAAGGGCTGTTTATTAGAAAATGGGACACATCGCTGAAATGCAAATCCCTAAGGGTTTGATTTAAATCCAAATTCTTAGAACAACGTTCTCAAGACTACATGATAAAATATGGGTAGTAATTACTTAGCGATGGTTTTGCCTTAAGAAATGTGTGAGACTAAGATGAAATGTGGAAGTACGCTGGTCTGGATGCCAATCATTCTGGAAAAAACAAACGAAAATCCCAGACTGGTGTTTGAAAATAAGACAATAAACAGTGACAACTGGAAGCTGTATGCTTTTGCCGTGAAATCCTAGCATACTTTATTTATGACTCCAAAAACGTTTGCTGATTTTTCCACGTGTTTCTGGGAAGCAGAGAGAAAATATGGCCATGAACAGCAGCGTCTCTAGCAGTGCTTGATGACGCTCCCAGGTGGAGCCAGCCTGGATCCCCAGCGTCTTCATCTGATGGCCAAAAGTGCCGTCATTCTCTGCTAGAGGATGACCCCTTCCTTCTTAAAACTACCTCTAGTATTTTTCTCTTAATAGCAGTCTTCAAGAAATAGTCAGAAGCTTATTTGTACCAAAATTTTAATAACTAAATGCATGTTTAGTTGGTTGTACATGTTACATTTTACAGAACTCAAACCAGTAAGCTTAAAAGTGATTAATAGCAGACAGCAAGAACCTGTGTCATTATTTTCAAATGAGGATGAATTTTTAAGAATTTATTTCAGTCATCATTTTATGATCAAAGTGTGATAGCTGTGGTCCACCTGATGGGAGTATATGACACAGTAAGATACAAAAAGACCAAATAAATAAGGATCTAACTCTAACAGGAACAAGACATTAAACTTAGGTAAAACTCAATTTCCCTATGTACTGTTATTTTCTTATCACTGAGGCAATACATTCAGGGAAGTCTTTTGCTTCTGGAAAACATTTGTTCATGGGGAGAGGAGAAAGAAAAGTTGCAACAGTTGTGAATTTTTGGTGACTCTGCTCTGCATAAAAAAATGTGTTGGATTTTATTCCATTTTGTGGATAAAACCAAGAGTAACTGTATAATTCCCTCAACAAAGGCCACATAGCTAATAGGCAGGAGAAATTTTTAAAATTTAGTGGCTTCAAAGCTGTACTGTCCACTCTACTAAGAAAGATAGAAATTTTTCAGGTATGGAGGGGTGAGATCTCTTGCACATGGGGAGAGGTCCAGGAGACTGAGGGTGGGGGGGAGGAGAGAGGGGAGAGGAAGTAAGAAGAATTAAGATCTGCCACTACAGGAGCCCAATAACCTAATGATCATAAATGTTATGTATCATAAGTATGAGTTAAGAATACAAAACAGCAAGAATGGGAAGGGAGATGCACAGGAAGGAAGGAGGTCAGTGGGAAGGGGAAAGGGATTAAAAAAAGAAGCAAGCTGTATTAAGTGCTCGTACCCACTCCCCCAGTGGAATGTAAACTTCACACACTGCAAACATGTACTAAGGTATAAAAGAAAATTTGCAATTATGTAGTCAAGTGTTTTCAAGGTGTCACTTATCGATTTGTCTATCTGATCATACATTTAAGAGCAGAGATTGCTGTCCCTTACAGAAACCTGTGCTTACATATCTTTGGACTTTCGGAACCTAAAACAGCTTAAGTTTTCATTCAACTAACACTACTCCTAATTAAATACAAGGAGTGTTGCTCGTGTTGTCTTCCGGTCTATCTATACGCAGGGCTGTCAGAATGACGGTAAGATGACTTTTGCTGCTGTGGTCTCAACGGTCTGACAGGCAATTTACTAGATCTCACTTTTTACTTATTTAATTCATTTCTGTGCACTTTTTAACATAGGTGCCACACATGCCTGCTTCCAATTTATGCCTCATCTATTCTTTATGAGATCTGGGCCTTCAATTTTTCTTCAGTTGCTGAGATGGTTGTAATATCCCTCCACTCAGTCCTACAAGGTCATTTTGACAAGCAGGGCTCAGGTTCATTATGTGGGTGGCCAGAGAAGCCATTATTGCCCTTCTTATGTCATGTAATACAATGAGAGGCCTGCAAATGTTGCCTTGTTCTATAAAATTGCTTTGCAAACTTATAATTTCCCTATGTGCACGACCCCTGTGCTGCTGAACTGCCAGCCGCCTGAAACAGCTAAACACCTGGGTTGTGGTAAAAATCTCTACAAATATTGGGATTGGGTTATTTAGTCTTGTAAAAATAAATACAGCGATACTTTCATTCGTTCACTCATTCGTTCATTTTTTTTATCTCAAAAGGTATTTATCTCCAAGTGCTGTGATAATTCCTGAGATTATATCAGGGAACAAGACTCTGAGTCTGCCTCTCCAGAAGGAAGAGTATAGAAGAAGGTTCAGACAAATAAGCAGAACATCGCAGCTCAGAAATATGCTCCCCAGGGCAAGCACAGACACTGCGGAAACCCTTAGGAAGAGCACTTTGCACAGTCCTGTGAGGTTGGGGAGATATCTGTCTTATTGGATCACAGCACAGCATTAGTGACAAATGAGACTGGAGGGGAAAGGAAGGAGGCTCACAGAGTCTTGCACATAATGTTCAGGAATTTGGACTTTATCGAGTGGGAAATCGGGAGCCATTAAAAGGGTTTAATAGGGAAAGTGACAGTATAAGATTTTCATCTTTATGAAGTCATCCTAGCTGCATTACGGGGGATGTAGAGATATTCAACCTTTGGAAACAAATTTGACTAAACCAGTACAGTAGTAAGGCATCTCCATCAGATGCAAATGCCCAAGAATGAACTGTTTCGGTGCAGAGAAGAGGAAATCTCTCTTCTCCCACAGAGCGAGCAGAGGAAGGCTGACCTGGTCACATCAGTGCTGAGAGGACAATTCCTAGAGAAGGATGTGTGGCTAGGCGCAAGATGAGGTGGAAAGTAGCCTCACTTAGCAATAGAGAGAAAAAGGAATTACCAGGAAATGGCAAGAATGTTCACTGTTTGCTAGTCAAAATGTAGAGCTATTTGGGAAGACTGTCTGGTAGTCCAGCTGAACGTATACTTACCACATACCACCCAGCAGGGTTTTTTTTCCTAGATATTCACCCAAGTGAACTGAAAGCTCATACATACACTCATACACACACACACACACACACACACACACACACGTATTCAAATTCTTATAGTGCCTTTATTCATAGTGACCCCAAACTGAAAACAATTTAGAAGTCCTTCAGAGTCTGTGCTCAGAGATATAAAAGGGAACAATCTATTGATTCAATCAAAATGAATGGACTTTAAATGCAGGAGAACCTAGATCCGAAAGCTACAAAGGCTGCATATTAAATAATTCCACTTATAAGACACTATTGAAATCACAAAATTATAAGGTTGGAAAATAAGTGGTCATAACGGGTTGTGAAGGGGAAGGAGTGATGGATCCCAAAAAAGGAATATTTATGGTGATGGGATTTTTTACTATACTTCTGATTGATGGGCACATGACTATGAATTTGTCATAACCCACAGAATTATACTTTCAAATCAGGAAAGAGTACTATATGCAAACTCTTTAAAATAAGCCAAAAAGGTCAGGGATGGAATTTCAGAGAATGGAAAATTAATTTACTTGTATTACAAATGAATTATATGTAATCAGAGAGCAGTTGGAAGAAGAAGATATGACCTAAACAACTTTGCAAGTGATATTTCATCCGGAGACTATAGCTAAGGACCAAAAGAGTGTGATAAATAGCACTCATTGATAAATATGTTTCTCTCAGAGGCATAGATAAGCGATTCTGAACCTACAGGTGTACTATGACTGAAAAATAAGTAAATTAATTATAAATCATAAATACTAGATTTTTGTCTGTCAGAGAAAGAAGTTATAATGAACATGGAGATAAGGCTTGAACAACTCTTGTACTGGATTAGACTTGAAGAAATCAGTGTGAATATATATATATAGTGAAGAAATAATTATAGATGTGTGGTACACATGAGTCACTATACACATATTTCCCCAGTTCCATCTACTGACAGTATTTAGAAATAATGACCTGTCAGTGGAAGAGCACAACCAGAACCCAGATCTTGGGTTCTACATATCATTCCCAGGAAAAAGAAGGAGGACTCTCTGGAGAAATAACTGATTCTAGGGCTAGGATGAGGAAAATAGAAGGCAGACTTGGAGCATCTTTTCATGGTAGAAAATAAGGAATTACTAAAAAGAATAAAGATCTGACTAAAGATGCAGGAACTGATTTGAAAAAGGCAAAGCTGGAATAATCTGAGCAGCACAATGAAGAGTTAGTATGAGATTATAACATCGTGCTAAGGCAAATGTTATACTTCCTGCGGATGTGTAATATCCTGCGGATGACTTCCGCAGATGTCTATATGATGGTTCTGCGGATGTCTATATCCTAATTCCTAGAACTTGTCAATACTTTACATTTCACAGCAAGGGGCAGTTAAGGTTGGCAATGACTGTATTTGCTAATCCACTGACCTTGAGATTGACTGGACTCTTACTGATTCTCTGAGTAGATCCGGTATCACCACAGAAGTCTGACTGAACAGGAAAGGAGAGACAGGAAGGTCAGCACCACATTGAAGCAGTCTGGTACACACTCTCCCAGCTATTGATGCCTTGGAAGAGGGGAGAGGCCATGGCCCAGGAAATGTAAACAGCTTCTTAATGCTGTAAATGGTAAGAAAACAAATTTTACGCTAAAGTCTTCAGAAAGCAATACAGCCCCAATGAGAACTCTTTGCAAAGTACAGAAGGAAGAAAAAAAACTAATTACTGGTCAGCAGAGATATCTGACAGATACCCAAGTGATCAAGACTCACTTCACAAGCGCTAAGTCATGCTGATGCTGTGTACCTCCAACGGGATCTTAGAAGGTTGCTTTCCTTTCTAGCATTCTTCACAGGGACTGAGAGCTCCAGTCTAATCAGATGACAACCTCAGACAATGTCCTCAATTGAAAGACAGGCTATAAAACACCTGAAGTACCATTCAAAGCTCTCAAGGTCACAAAAACCAGAAAACACTCAAACACTGCCTTAGGTCAGAGGAGATTAAGAAGATATGACAACTAAAAGTAGTGTAATATCTTAGAATAGATTTAGAATTTTAAAAAGTACATTAGTTTAAAAAAAAACTGGGAAAGTCGTGGAGATGTAGCTCAGTAGGAAAACACTTACCTCGCATGGGAGATGTCAGGACCTCTCATGTTCCCCACCAGAAAAACTGGTGAAATCTGAATAATTCCTAGATAATAGTACAGTACAATGTTCTTTTTTCCAAATTTTAACAAAGGTACAATGGTTATATAACATGCAGACTTTGACAAAGTGGTTTAAGAGTTTACACAAATGCTCTGTACTGTCATTGCAATTGTTTTGTAAATCTAAAACTATCCTAAGAAAAAATTGGGGGGTATTGGGAATCGAACTCACAACCTCATGCTTGCCAGGCAGGCACTGCACTGCTGAGCTATATCCCTGACCCCTAAGAAAAACATTAAAAATAATTTTTAAAACGTTTCTACATAAAGACTTGTAATCATAGATCTTTTCATCTCAGCCAAAACCTGATAAAGAACAAATGTGCATAAAAACATGGATAAACTAACAAAATGTGATACACTTGATTAACAACTGAATATTTCTCAGCAAATATTAAGATGAACCAATTTCTGTAAACACAACAATATGAATCTAAAAAATTTGCTAAACAGAGGAAGTTAGACGCAATAATTGCATAATATATGATCGTGTTTGTGTGAAATGTAAGCAAATCTATGATAAACAAAAGTAAAGCAGCAGTTTCCTGGGGCCAGAAATAAGAAGGGATTCATTACAATACAATATGCAATCTTTTGGGTGGTGGTTTCAAGACACATATTCATTACAGCTCATTACAATGTACTCCAAAAATGGGTGAATTTTTAATATGTACATTATGCCTCAAAACTGACTTTGAAAGAAAAAGTAAATTATTTAGAAATTTCCTTCAGCTTCTCTCAATGAAACATTTTATTATACCAAATTATTTTTTAAAAAATCAACAGATAACCTTACACAGGCAGTAGCGTTTTATCCATTTATTTGTACTTTTTAAAATTTACTGTTCAGCAAGGTACGCAGGCAAATGTACCGCTCCTGAGCTTCACCATACTTGCAGTCTACTTTTCGGAATACACATTTACAGTTTATGAGAAGCACTCCTTAAAGCATTGTTTAGAGGAGGAGGTGAGGCCACGGAAGCAGTTACTGGGGCTGGCAGGTTGTTAAATCACTTTCTGTGTGATGCTAGCACCTGCAAAAGGTGAGAGGTGCCTGGCCTAACACTCTCATTTGTAAGAAATTTTGTCTGAGTTTGACTGCTTCTCCATTCTGGTGGCTTTTGGATTTATGAACCAATAGAAACATTTGACATCTACAATCTCTTCTGTGAAAAGCAACAATTTTCAGCAAACTGTGCTCAGTTTTGTCTTTCTGTATTGAAATGTAATTTTCCTTTGAAAAGAAAAGGTGTTGTTCAGAATGTAACACATCAAGAAGACTTAGCAGCTTAGTAGAATGGCTAACAGCAAATTTGAATGCTTGTTACATTTACCATACAGCTAGTCTTACACATGCGGTATAGCTGTACTCCTGTAGAGCCATTTTTAAATCCACAGTTCAAAACAAACAAAAACAATTGAATTAGGGGTAGAAACAGATTGATCTGGCCAACCAGAATTAAAAATTGATCTTTCCCTCTCTTTTTTTTCTTAACCGCAGGCTCAGAGAGTCAAGTTAATCAGTTTATCATGTCCCCTTGGTCTACCAGATGGTCCCTCATGACCTGTGTATCTCCTGACAAATAGCTCATCATCTTCGGTGTTGGTCTCAGCTCAACAGTTATTTGTGCCTAAACCACCAGGCACTGCTTCTTCAACCACTCAGAGGAACTCTCCACACCACTGACTTCCTTGGTGCCTGTAGCTTTTCCCTGGTTTGCAGTGGCTGGGTCCAAGAAACAGAGGTAGTGAGACACATATACATCCACCTATTTTTCTTAGACTTTCCTGGAAAGCTTCAAAATCTTCAACTGTTAATTTGCCATTTTTTAAAGAATGATAAGATTTTTATGCACATATTTAAAACAAATATTTAAATTGAATTTGAGTGGTGAGGACATGTCCTTGCAGGGTTCGGGAGGAAGAGAGGCAAAGAGAAATTGAGTGATAAACAGGTTAAATGCTTGTGCTAAGAATTCAATAAAAACCTGCAACAATGAGAATTTGGGAAAAATAGAAGGAAAAGGAACTTTGTATAATGATGAAAGTATTCAGTAAAAAATCATTAATCAGTGAAATCATGAACATATGACAATCTCATAGGTGAGATTACAAATGTAAAATCATTATAAAGTAATTTTGACAGATGATATAACATTAAAATAAAATGATATAACAGGAATTTCAATGCAATTTATTAAATCAACATCCTTTATCGACAGCAAAATTAAATCTCAGGTAAGTAAATATTGATAGTGTCATCTAAAATGAAAAGTGTGCCTCCTCTATTCCAAAAGGGCAGTATGACTAATTTGGGGAGGAGAAGGATGAAGACAGAACACAGATCAAGTAGGATCTCCCCACAAGTGGCAGGATTGAAATATCATTTCAGTGAATTTTAACAGGTTATTTTTAGTAATGTTCTCAGTCTTAAAATATTTATGATTCATCCAGTGCTGTTGGGTAGAACTATAGCTTGTGCTTCACAACTGACACAGAGGATTTTATATAATTTTTGTGGTTCTCTGTTGTTTTTGAGGCTTCTTTTTGGGATGGGGAGTATAAGGGAATATGTGACCTCCCTCAGCACTGCTTTCCTAATGCAATAACTCAGCAAGACAGACCCAAGGACACTGTGGTTAGTTGGGATCCAGCTGTCTGACTCTCTTCATAACTGTCTTTGAGCAAAAAGGGAATCACAAGTCATGAATCACCTCAAGTCTTCAGAGAAGACCTGAACAAGTAATGAACTATAACACTTACCAGGGACTGCCTGTAGAAGTGGCTTAGAGCCCACAGGAAATTTCAAAAGATAGATAGAAGCAGAAATTTTCTCAGAAAAATTCCTCAAAATTCCTTGGTAATTCATGCCATACTAGTTGCCATGGTGTTCTACATCTTACTAAGAGAAAGACTTGTAGAAGATTTTCTAAGCTTCAAAACTGAATAGACTTACCCTCATCTAGTTCTCCCCCTTTGGGTGGGAAAGAAAAGGTCACTAACACTCTAGGATCCTGGTTTTTTTGTTGTTATCATTTTTTAAAATCACATTATACAAGGGACCAGTGTGGCATCAGTATTTGCAGAAGTATATTAGCTAAGTATGGCATATTTATGAGGTGGGTTCTGTCAGGAAACAAAACACAAATGATTAAAATGCTAGGTGCATGCTGGTCATGGTGGCACACACCTGTGAGCCTGGCACTTGAAAGAGACTGAGACAAGAAGAGCATTGTGAGTTGAAGGCCAGCCTGGGCTACAAAGAGAACTCAAGACCAGCCTGAACTACACAGCGAGATTTTGTCTCAAAAAAAAACAAAAAACAAAAAACAAAAAACCAGGTGCATTATAAAAGGAAATTATGAGATGGTATAACTTTTTCAACTATTCTCCTTTTTCACATTACATTTCTAATAAAGGAAGATAATCTATATAAAACTTACCCAGCTTGCTTTTAATATAATTATTATCATTATTCCTCAATAGTAGGTATTATTTTTTCTTTTTGAACCATAGAAAAGAAAGTTAACAATGACTATTTTCTTTCTGGTTGCAACAAAATTTCCACTTCAAGGAAAGATATTAATAAAATTTCATTCTCCAAACTTTTCATATTTTCTCTGTGCCTTCTTTAAAGCTCTTTTTTAAAATTTATGACTATCAAACCTAAATCATATAAAGTGTATGAGATGATGAATTCTATTTTGCTTTTGTGTCACAGTATTATCATTTTACTTTACATCCTATTGAAACATGATAGTCTACAGATAATTGTAAGAAACAAGTTTTATTATATATACATAAGTAAGTAGCACTATAAACTTCCTAGGATATTTCAGGATATACAATTTTATTTCATGTATAAATTGTGATTATATCATTTGGTTCTTAAAAGACCTTGATGAGTTAGAGCTCTGTTTCATAAAAATAAAATTGAAATGCAGCCAATTATTACTTCTTTCAGGATCCAATAGTACATCATTTAGAGAATTGGGATTTTATATATTTTGATTCCTAATCTGGTATTGATTTTATGTATCAATGTACCTAGGCCCCCATGCTTGCATAAATATATTTTAAATCAAATATGTAAGCATGGTATTTTTACACAATGGACTATTACTCAGCTATAAAAAAGATAAACTTGAGGTTCTTGTAGGTAAATGGATGCAACTAGAGACCATACTCATAAGTGAAATAAATCAGACCTGCATGTATAAACATCATATTGTTTCCCCAGTGTAAGAACCTGAAAGAATAAATAAAATGCAAAAGGTACAATAGATATTGTGAAAAGGAAAGAAATTGCTCAAAGGGAAGGACCGACCTGGATGGGGGAAAAAAGAAAAAGAAAGAAAAAAGGAAAAGAAAAAATATATATAGAGAGAAGGATAGCTGAGATAATTGTACTGCTGATGTCTATTGATTTATTGAAAGGAATAGTTAATGCTTAAATTTTTTGGATCAGTTTTTCATGCTTATATCTGGTAATCTGAACAACTAATCTGAAGACAACAATATACAATATAACATTGGTGAATTCCTACCATCTTGTCTAGTGAAGTGCTGCATCATTCTAATTTTTTAAAATTTTTTATTCTTTTTAAAGTTTGATCAGTTTTGCATTCATCTAGTAATCTGTGGAACTCTGTTGAAGATAATAATATGTAATAAGCCACTGTTAATTTCTATCATTTTCTTTTGAAACCCTGCATCATTTTTATTGTTTTTATGTTGTTTTGTTGTTGTCTATGCTGTTGTTATTTTATTATTTTGTTATTCTCTTTAAAATAAAAAAAATTTCTGGACATGTCTAACGATAAGATTGACAGTTAAGCTGGTAAACCAAGCAAAGCAGACCATACTTCCCAACATGAATGGCCATCATCGAAAAAACTGAGGGCTTGAATAGAATAAACAGTTGAACAAGAAACAATTTTCTCCCTAACTTCAAGCTGGAACAGTAGTTTTTTTCTGTTGGACTTAGACTGAAATTTTTATCCTTAGTTCTCCCAGATCTCCAACTTGCTAACCTTTGATCTTCAACTTCTTAGCCTTCAGATTTGGGTAGGACAGTTTCTTACAATAAATCTTGTCTGTCTGTCTTCTATCTATTTATCTTCCTAAGATGTCCACATGACAATTAACCCCATTGGTCAACTTCATTGGAATAAGAAACACCTTGCAGATTAGTAAGCATACCTTTGAGTGTGTCTGGGGATGTCACTGCTGCATCACCTGTGGTGTACTGCATGGTACCTGCCCCATCCTTCTCCGGCACTCTTCCCCTACTCTGCTTGCTGGCTGCCATGAACTAAGTGGCTTTGCACAACTTCATACTTCTGCCATATTTCTACCTTGAAGCCAGGTGATCACGGACTGAATGCTCTGAAATGTGAGCTAAATGGAAACTCTCCTTGAAGTTGTGAGTGTTGAATATTGTACCACAGTGATGGGAAATATGACACATAAAATTGATACCAAGATTGAGGCCATTTCTGTGACCATACTTGACTATATCAGGTGTTTGAAGCTGACTTCAGGCATGTATTTGAAAAAGGGTTTAGAGAAGCAGGGTGGAGAAGGCCCAGAATGCTGTAAACAGAACATGATGGGTGACTCTGGTCATAATTCAGAATGCTGATAGCAATGCAGACAGTAAAGGCCACGCTCAGGATGTTTCAGTTAGGAACAATGACTCCACTGACAGTTGTACTGCAGACTATGTGCTTTACACTCCGGCAGAAATTTTTTCTGCCAATTGCAGAAATTCTGACACCTTATAAGAAATCAAGATTAAGGGATAATTGATCTGGTGGGTGAAATTTCAGTGCAGCCCAACATTCAGGCTGTGTTATGAGTACTTCTAGTTGCTTTAAACAATGAACTAAAAGCAGAACAGAAAAGTGTTAAGAACATAAATACCAGCCCAGAAAGAACCATATATAAAATTAGGGCCAAAGGATATATGGCTGCTAGAGACTAACATGATGAGAAAGAAACCAAATTCTTTGTACAGGGAGAAAAAGAAAGATTCCTTGATAGCATCAGAATCAGCAAGACCTCACCCACTGCATGCTCAAGAGTGCAAATGTGCCAACCTTTCCTTTAAGAAGAAAGTCTCTAGAACTCTTGTTCCAGAACAGCCTCCAAGGAATTGGCTCTCTGAGATTCATTTCACCGTACTCACCCATCCAGGCACTCAGATATTACATTGTTTCTACTGACAGCCAACCTTGGTGTCATCCACATAATTATGCTTTTACTGGCATGGAAAGTGCAAAAGTTGTGCACTCAGGGAGGTTTACACCCAAATTTCAAAAGAAAGCCTGGATGTATAGGCAAGAAGTAACTGAGAGGGTAGTGCTTGAAATTTTGGGAATAAAGCTGAAAATACAGTGGAGACACCAGGAAGGTAGGAATGTTAGGAACATGGAATGTCTTCTAAAGAAAGCTGAAGTCTGTGAGGGGACCCTGCCCAAAGAAGAGACCAGTGGACTACAACAGTTAGGCCATAGTGGTGGTGCTTTGAAAGCCCTTTGGAATTCACATTTTACCACAGTGTGCTCTGACTGCTAGATATGGAGCTATAGGTCTTAATATTTGCCAAGCTAGACATTGCTATTGCTTTGGTCCAATTCTCTTGTATCTCCTAATCTCCTCTTTTGAAGTGGAAATGTTTATCCCATGCCACATTGCCTTGGGATTATGTAACTTGTTTTTAATTTTTACAGAGGTTCACACCTAAGAATTTGCCTTGTGTTTCAGAAAACACTTGGACTTGAACCTTTGAAAAATGCTGAAGCTGTTGAGATTTCAGGAAGAGGTTACTGCATTTCCAGTTGTACAGAAGATAGCTGCATTATATTAGGTTGAATTGCAAATTGTCTGTTGTCTTTATTTGGAGATTAATTATAGTTTAAAAGATGTGCTTGGATACACAGTTAACCAGGGGTGGATTGTGACCATTAATTCTGATTTGTCAAATTTATTGGATTAAGAAATACCTAGTAGATTGG